CGGACCTTCATCAGACCACTAACTGCTGTGTTTGCCCCTGCGATAATCACACTCTACCATGAGTTCCTAAAGGATGGGAGAGTACCTGGTGATTGGGCGACTGCCGTAGTGGTAGCCATCCACAAGAGTGGAGCTAAGAAGCAATTTGGCAACTAAAGACCCAAAAGTTTAACCAACGTGATGTGTGTTAGTTTAGAAACCACTGTTAGGAATGCTCTCTGTGAGCATGTTACTCGACATAGGTTGATTAGCCCTGCCCAGCACGGCTTTCTCAAAAAGAGATCGTGTTTGAGCAACCGTATTTGTTTTTTAGACGAAGTTACAAGGAGGTTACATGCAGGTCAGAAAGTCGACGTGTGCTATCTGGACTTCAGGAAAGCTTTCGATTCGGTAAATCACCGGCTTCTACCAATCTCCCAATAGCTCTGAGTAGATGGATAGAAACTTTCCTCACCAACCGGAACTAGAGAGTTCGGGTAGGACTAGCTCTGCCCAACGTTGGCAGCGTATCTAGTGGAGTGCCTCAGTGCTCAGTGCTACGCCCAGTGCTCTTTCTACTATTTATAGATAACTTGGTTCATGAACTAGCGATTCGTACCGTCATCTTTGCCGGACTACGTAAAATTAGTGAACACGGGTGATGCGTCTGTGATTACTGTCGAATGTGCTTTGGATGAAAAAGCATGTAAAACTGCATCAGTGGAAAGAGAACATAGAAAACTTCTAAGGGGGATTTCATGAATACGTGTCTATTGAAATGTTCGCTGTGAGACAAGTGTGAACAATGGTTCTGCTTTTGTGGCAAAACCTGGAATGGATCTAGAATAATACTGAAGTGAACCGAGTAATGAACGAAGTTCTTCAACTGACTTCGGAGAAGGTGCGTTAGAAAGAGAAGAAAAACGAGTAGAATCAGGACGGAAACCATGTTCATCAACAAGAAAACCCAAACAGGAAAATTTTGGTGTAGAAAATGTACATTGATTTGCATTGATAGCAACATTATGGATATTGAACCGTTCAAGCAGTAATCACAGACGCTTGTCGTGTAGTTCTTTTGTTGGTGTACGGACGATAATATCATCTTGGTAAGCTGAAACCCCATCCAAACCAGAAATAAAAGAATTCACAACATTCTCAAATATAGCAGGCGAAACACTTAGACCAAACGGCAAAACGTTATAACGAAATAGACCAAACGGTGTGTTAATTGTGATCAGTGTACTAGAATTCTCATTAAGTGGTACCTGAAGAAATGCATCCTTTAAATCAAGTTTGGGAAAGCACTTTGATCCATGAAATTGATGGAGGATATCTTCGGGTTCAATGGTTGAGCAGCTAGTTTGCTTTAAGTGTCTGTTGACTGTGAAACGGTAATCCCCACAAATTCTGGGTGTTTTACCATTACGTTTCATGGAAACCACAATAGCGGTAGCCCAAACAGAAGAATCCACAGGCATTAAACACCCTTCGCAACTAAATCCTCCAAAACTTTCTTTACGGGTTCACGGAGACCCAGTGGTATAATTCGACGTTTCAGAAATATTGGGGAACCATCAACTTCTAAGTGAATTGAGGCCATTTTAATTCCACCCTTATTGTTGGAGCATTTAAGAACCAACTGACGCAGTCGAGAAGTTGATCATCAGTAAAAAATGAAAGAGAAATTTGCCTGCGTTTCGTAGAATCGAGGCCAATAATAGAACTGTTGGAATCAATAGCAAGAAAGAAACAATTAAATGTGTACTGTTCATTATCAGTAAGGAGTAGTTCACACGAACCTAAAACAGGAAGGTTATAGCCAGATATACCTTTAACCGAAACGTTATTTGTGTTCAGATACGCACGTGGTTTTAAACGCCGAAGAACAGTCTTTGAAATAAACGAATTCACACTACCTGTGTCTATGATGAATGAATGACGAAAACAATGGTTAACTGTGAAGGTACGAGTAATGTGTTGAGACTGGTTGGAACTGTTAACCGATAAAGCAAGAGACTGAAAATCGGTAGACCAGCATGAATCAGGGACTGAGTTCTGTGTCAAACAGTTACGTGTGTTTCGACAAACAGACTGGATGTGCCCAGACTTGTGAAGCTAACCGGAGTTGACGGCCTTCCGTTGTCTTCTTACGGGTCTCAGTATCGCGCGACCTCCTAGTGTCTCGTTGCCCGAAATAGACAAAAACACTCGTGGGAGTCGTAGACGTTTATTGGCGAATCGTGGTACTAGATAGTACCGAAACGTGCCAAGGTGACGTTAAACAAAGCAAGCAACAAATGCAGTAGCAGAGCGATAGCGTGTCACACATGTAGCGTGGGTTTGAACAGGACCCAGCTTTTATATACGCCTGAGCGGAAAACCGTGCTCGGTAAAACAAAAGAAGTAAAACAAAGAAAATATCACAGTTCGAGTCAGAGTTGATTGTGAAGAAAATATGAACGGAAGACGTCCTCGTGGATCGCTCCTTTTCTTCGTACAATCGTGGTCACTACACTTACCACACTTGGGGCACTTGACATTGCGAAATTTACAAGTCAGTCGACAGTGTCACCTACCGCACGATTCGCAAGGTTTCTAGTTGCGGATGTTATTATTTGTAAGTTGTTTGGAAGTTGGACTATGATTAACAGCATTGTTGACACTTTTGAACTGCCGCGTCTGTTGGGCTTCAAACGCTGAACCACGGTAGTGACTGAAGAATGCTTTCGACTCCTCACGGCCGCAAGTACATCCTGGTATTGTTCACAAACCACCTTTGCGGTTTGAAATGTACAGTTTGGAATCAACAATAACTGCTGCTGTAGCTCAGAACAGTCAATTCCAGCAATGAGTCTATCACGGAGCTGAGTTTGAAGCTGATCTTTGAAATTACAGCGTGCAGCCTGAGTCTGCATCTAAAGAATGAATACTCGGACAGAATGATTAGGATCACGAGCAAGGCAATGGAATTCCGCTCACTCAGCTAATTTGAACTTCACTGACTAAAAATGCTGTAGTACTTTAGAACTAGTACGCAGTATGAATTACAACCCAGAATATTCGAAGTCAAATTGTATTATGCGCCGAAATTGTACAAAGCAACCCATCATGTAACGAAACAAGAATGTTCAGTTTATACACGATCACCACAATCAGATCGTAACATGTATCACAATGTTGTGGCCACAGTTAAACGCGGAAAGCTCGGTTGATATCTGGCAGTTCTGCGTACGTGCGTATTGAATGAGAACAGGAGTGGATCTGCCAGCAATGCCCCATACGTGTCTGGTTTGGCTGTGGGCAGCTTGACTGTTCAACTATCAAACACGGTTAAGAATGTTCGATAGCCGAACTTGGACTCGTTCATTTGATGTGCCATTTACATCAAAAATGACAATAATTGGCACAACTTGAGGACAGCTAGGAAAATGTGGCAAATGAGGCGTTCTGATTCGGACTTTCTCACAACCTGGACAGTATGTCAGGCATGTGAATTTCACCACAGTTTGTTCGCCGGTACAACGATTTTCACACGTGAATATCCGGTGTACCAATGCTTCATTTCATGCCTGCTTTGGTTGATAATCCAGGCGTGAATTCTGTCAATCTCAGTAAGACAATGTGTTTTCCGTAGCAAGCGGGCAAAGGCGAACATATAGTGGGAATGTATTTTGGACACAAACGTAAATCTTTCACGTTTCTTTCAGAATGAGTCGAGTTCTGTAAAACCGCTGACAGTTTGAATAACCGCGAGTCACATCTGTTTTTACACTTCATGTTATTGATATACAACAACTTCCTCCACTTAAGACTTCCAATAAAATGATCTGAAATGCATCCGGTGCTTCATCTGAGCAATCAACGCTATGGTGTTTGCTTTAAACAGTGATTATGATCGTTCGGGATTTGCTGACCGGTGCACACCGAGATTGAATAACGTTTACTCAAACCTGTCCATCTTCCTAAATTCTGGCATTTGGCCCCGCGACGTCTATTTCATTCCTATCGTCGTATGATAACTAGAAGTTCCACTTGTACTGCCTGAGGTGCTACGAGAAGAGTTCCTTGTTGTTTAAACGTATTCACGCCGTTGTATATGTTGGAACTTGTACCATTTTTGGACATGACACTTAAAAGCGCCTAGAGGAATATTCCACCACCACATGACACGAAGCATGACCGGTTAGTCTTTCCAGATCAGCAATTGATCTGGATTGTGATTCATAGCACAAAACACTTATATAACCAAACTTGTATTAGACTGGCCGAATACCAGTCACTTTTATTGAATTCTTCACCGCAAACGTAGGAAAACAATAATGTAATGCGTTGTAGTAACATCCGGCTATCAGGCATTGTTACATTAACGGATACACCATTAGTGGTAGGGGAATTTTGCACCCGTAAATACGGGAGACATTTTACACCTATCAAACACTGATCAAGGGCCCGGGTGTTTTCCTACTCATTTAATAACATGCAAAACGTATTCATTCTGACTTTTTGACAGAACACCATTCATTTGTGAGATTCGGATTACACACTTCAAATGTTCAGTGAAAAAGATTTCAGATGCTGAATTTGTGGTGTAAGTGAGGCGTGACACGAAACCTAGCAAGTATTGGACAACTGTTTCGACCTGGTTGGACTTCATCAGCAGTGCGAATCGATCGATCCAACTAATGAGACCAAACCAGGTTGAAAAAGTTGTCTAAGGCTTCCTAGCTTTTCAGCTTGCGCCTTTTTCACACCACGAATTTATCATCTAATCAAGTAAAATCCTACAATCCTTTCGTATAAAACACATCCGCGGATCAGGCGATAGATGAGGACTTATCAAAAGACCAAACCGCTGTGTGTATGACTACAGCTGATCTGTGTGTGTGTGGATAGACCAACCGAACCATTACTCTGACAACCGAGAAATTCCGATCGTTACCAGGTTCCTTTGAACCAGTAATGAGTAATGGACAACGAGCATTATGCAAACACCTACTGCACATCTTTTTTCCCAACTCATGTTTGACAACGGGTTGGGTGATAAGTTTGTTCTTTACAGTGGAACTCTGATCGAATCCTACAGACATCATCATATCATTCCTTGGGATGATGATCTCAATGTTTTGGTTGGTGTAACTGTTAAATCCAATTTGCAAACACTGTTAGAACAACTCAGTCCAGAGTACCAATTGAGAAAACAACACTATCGGGATAAATTCCCCACTACGAAACAAAAGAATCACAATAAATTCTACACATTCACCGATCTCGTGTTTGATACTGACTCGTCCGATCTGCTTCTTAGTCACTGTGTATCTGTATCCCCATTGGGTTGGCCTAATTTGGACATTGGATACTATCAGTAAAACCACACTTATGTTTGGAGATCGCTCTGATTTATGGCATAAAACATGAATGATTAATAGACCTATTCCTACCACTTCGGTTGTGATCGTTTCGTGATCAGTGGTATCTAGCCTCTATCGAACGGCGGAATTCCTACGCATTGTCCATGGTTCCGGTAACATGTGTGTGATTTTGTTTACTCTCAGGTTCTCGAAGGTGTTGGGCTGTGGTACACAGAAGTGTTTAGATTTATCAACGCGTTGACAGGCTCTTCCTCGTGATGAATGTGATTAATTAGGAGTGCTGTGAGATGATGTTTGCTGGGTAGGATTATTGGGCGATGCCACCGAAGGGTAGGAGCGCTTTCATCAAACCTCTACCGACCCTTGTTAATCCATCATGAATGAACGAGTGCAATCTCACTATGCCCCTGGCCTCCAACACCTGCATGCAATAGGTTTTCTTTCAATTCAGCAACGCAACCATTTCCATTCCGAAGCATTCTGTTCACAGCATCCGCATCAGATCTCGCTCGACCGATTCGAATTCATCCGGTAGTTGTGGACCCACGCTGATCGGACCTTTAGAACGGGAACCTAACATAATCATTCCATCCGATTGGAACGTGTCTACTAAGCCACAAACCTTAGCGCCTTTTTCCAACGAGAGATATCATTCTGTCATCCCAGCAACGATGAGGTTCTTGTAGCTCAAACATGAAACACCGTCCACTTCTCTTCCAGCTATAGTCATGCGATATGGCTGAGCGGTTGATGAGACCACTGTTCGGGCTCTCAGGTCACGAAGTCAGGATCTTCTACCCAGTACTGTAGTTTATCCAGGTTGCTTGTACCTCTGGAACAATAATCGTCCGGGTTGTCTACTGACCTCAAGTGTCGCCACTGAACGCATCCAGATATCACAGCGTAGCGCATCAATCGCCTACAAAGAGCTATTTATAAGCTACATCTGCTATATTCGTTATTAAACAGTATTTTACCTTTAAAATGTTTTCATCTTATTCGTTTTTGATTTCTTGACTCATTTTTATTCTTAAATCAATCAAAGTGCCTGTATTTTTGGAGTTAAACTCCCGCGATTTTTATTTTAATTTATAGCGGTCAATCATATTTTGAGTGACTCTAATCTTATGCCGGGTTTTTGTTAGCTGCTCATCTCCGTTGGAACTTCCGCTGAAATTTATGCTACGCTAACCAGCACTCGTTTCGTTACAACTGTTTTCCTAGCTTACGGTCTTGTCTTGTTGGAGACCCCCGCGTTCCTTTTCTCTAGTATGTTTCTTCTACTCGACTGGATGATTAGACGTCTCTTTCGCTGACTGTTCTGCTTGGACTAGCTTTCCCTATTCTTTTCATAACTCTCAAGTCAATAATTTCTGACTCGCGTTAGCAGATCAAAAAGTCAGGAAAACGTGCACGTTCTCCAAAAAGCGTAAACTTCTCCAGTGGGAAAAATGAGCTTCATATGGATAATGAATAATCCAGGACACATCACAGTGAATGTTGCAGAAACTCGTTCGATAATTACTTTTTGCAAACCATTTTCGGTATCAGTGGAAAAAGACAGATTTGATAAAAAGCACGGTGCTAAGATAAATGTTTTGCATAAACCGGGAATTTTAAATCTGACCTGATACACTAAAACGACTCCAGAGCGGCGACTGACAAAGAATACTGACACACATATTCGGTCACGGTATCCCACTTTGCCCGAGGGAATTATATATTGATTTCAAATGGAAATTCATATGCTTTTCTCATCCCAATGAACCTCCTGCCTCCCCCCACCCTAGCACCATAATCTTTTCCGGTCTGTTATCTAAAGATTTCGCTCAATTTCGCGTACCTGCGAAACACAAATAAAGCCGTACAGCAGCTTTTCACAACACCTTTGTATCATAGCTTTCTCGTTAATTGGTTTCCAGGGGACGAGTATCGAAAACAATGGTACACAGTTTTATTTCACTCTTCATGCTGCAATTTTCTGTATTTTTGCTAGCGTCCTCACTCTTCCTCACTGTCATTGTCATACCTTTAAATGTATCTTAATAAAATGCACACCACTGGAAAATCTGTCCACAATGAATAAAGTACAATTATAACTTCACTGGACCTGCGGATTAGGATGGGTCTTCGTTGTCTTTCAGTTCTGGGTTTATTCCGGTAGAGCAACATCCGTCGTTGCCTGTAGAGACTAAATTTGATTGATCATGTCACTATGAGAGCCTATGTTGAACAGACGGAAAAAGTGACAGAATCTGTGTTAGTTGTTTAGACCCCTTCCTTCTGTTTTCACTAAGTATGCCAACCATACTGAGTTTCGAGAATTCTCGTGTCGCATTCGAATGTTCCTTGCAATGACAATCCCGAATTCGATTTCAAATATGACATTTTGAACACAGACCCACAAAACACAGGATGAGAGCACAAATTGACAAACAAGCTCGATTTCAGCGCACTGTAATCTGAGTCTGACACCAACCCCCGATAATTTAGGTAGCGATAGAATCTGAGAGAGTTTGCACAGGTAGCGCACCAGGTTTATGTGCTAACAAAAATCATACTCATGATCTCCTGATCGAAATGGATATTTTGATACCAAATGAAATGTGATTGGCTGTACCGGATTGACGTCCGATGATAGAGTGACTCGCAGATACCGAACCGTTGTGGTTCGTACTCTGACTAGTATTTCGTATACGTATCGGATTCCGCGCACTAGTGGT